TGTAAATAAAAACAACAAAATAACACACCAAGTAGTGGAAATATAAAATGAAATACAGCACAGGCATATAACTATATAGTGCAGCAAGGAACAGGACATGCAGGATTGCCAGAAAAGGCCTCTCTGTAAACCAGTGTTTTCAAAGATCTTTTAAAAGAGGGGAGGGGTGGAGCCAGGTGCAGTTCCACGGACAATTGGTTCAATAGCATTGGAGCAAAGAACACCCTACCTCTAGTAGAGGATTTCTTGGCCTCCCTTGGAGTGGCTACCCAGAGAATCATCTCCTGGGAGGACTTGGTGGGTTGGGTGTTCTGACAGGTAACGTGATCCCAAACCGTGAAGAGGTTTATAGGTGATAATAAAAACCTTGAATCTGATCCATGAGAAAACAGGTAACCAGTGCAGGTGAGCCAAGATTGGGGAGATGTGGTCGAACCTGTTCACACCAGTCATCAGTCTGGCTGCCACATTCTGGACCCATTGAAATCTTGGGATCAAATCCAAGGGAAGCCCCACATAGAGAGCACTGCAGCAGTTGATGCACGAAAAGACAAATGCATGCACGAGTGTCCTGAGGGACTCCTCATCTAGGAAGGGGCAGATATACCTCAACTGAATGAAGGCAGCTCTGGACACAGTAGTAACCTGAGAATCCCAAGATAGAGCCAAGTCCATGAGCACACCCAGATTATGAACATGATCCCTGACGATAAGGACAACACCATCCAGTCCAGGGAACATTTCTCTATCCAAGGAGTCCACCAGGAGCAAAATCTCCATTTTGTCCAGGTTCCATTTGAGCCTGTTAGCTCTGCTCCATTCCAAGACCAACTCCAGGAGCACTCAAGATTCTGGACTGCATCCACTGCAGAGGTAGAAAAGGAGAGACAGGAGACCAGCTTGACGTCATGACGAGACAGCAGCAGGAGGACAGACCTCTGTCCCCCAGGCTGAATTCTGACCTTGTTTGGGACACCATAGGGTGTCGGAACCACCCTGGAGGGGTGGTGAACTGGGGCGGAAACCTGTTGATCATGGGGGGCGGCCACCCCCGTTTGATCCAGGAAACTCCCTAATCAGCCAACGGGCAGAAACAAGCAGCTTAAGGGCTTGCTTGCAAGTCGTCGGCAGCCGGCTAAGAGAAGCAACGATCAGCATCTGGCATCGCTGTTTACCATCGGGTGAGATTTTTATAACTAATTGCTTATGTACCCCTGGAGGAAACAATTCCTATATATGGAAAAAAAGAATTGCTATCTATCTCAGAAACTATAAAGCTGCAAAAAATCTGGTGAGAGGGATAGCTGATGGAAAGGTAATAACTTTTAAAAATATACTTCAAGAATATTACAGTTTGGCGTTGTGAAGCTTGAGAAACTTTCCTGTGAGTTATACTTGATAAATCTGGACTCTGTTTTGACTACCTGAAGTCACTTGGCATGGAGCCTAGGAGGGGTGACCTTGAACCCTCTGCTGTTATTTCCTTTTGACTTTCTTTGTGCCTGGCTGGAAAATTAACCCTAAAGTGGACCTTTAAGGCCATCA